CAATGAGTGGACATTCTGGGGGCTGTGAAATCAGCAGGTCTGGACTCTTGGCTCTCCATATCATGAGCTCTGGAGCTTGGGGCAAGTCAGCCTCTCAGACTCACTTTCTTGCTCACAAATACAAGAAAGTAAAACCTAGCACAATATGCTGAGGATTAAATGAGATAGCATTTGGTACTGTACGCAATGCAGGCTGCTAATAAAAATGTAGATAGTGATGATATTTATTATGGAGCAGATAGTACGTTAAGTGCTTGCTTTTCATGCTCCATTGTCTCATGTAATTCTCAGAACAATGCATTTTTCATGTGATAAAATTAAGCTCCGTATGGATCATATGGACTAAAAGTCACAGGGACTTATCTCATAATTGTGGTGTCCTTCTTTCCTGACTTGGTGCCACCACAATCAATTCAGGCAAGCTCCGAGGGAATAACATGGCTGAGTTATTATGGACACATCCGGTACAAATAAGCTTTTTTCTCCCACGTTAAGTCCTTTTTCAGTTAAAACTCCCAGCTACCCAAGAATTCACTCGTATTGCCCAGGTGACCTTTTCTTTCTCCTGAGCCTCCTCCTAAGACCCAAATATACTGCTGGCAAAATCTGACGTGGCTTTGAGGGATATTAATTATAAGGAGACGGTGCAGAGGGACTCAAGACTGAAATTCAAATAGCCGGACAGAATTTTGGAGGGAAAATTAAAAAGACAATGTTTTCTGAAAAAGTGCTAACCTAAGGAGAACACTCCCACACTGCACTCCAGCTTCCATCTGAGAAGTTGAGAGAAGACGGGAGGAAACTCCATCTGCTCTCGGTCCAGTGGGGCCCGAAGGTGGGGTGGGAGGAGAAGCCCATCCAAATGTCTTCGGGCCACAGCCAGGCGGAGCCATCTTACTCCCAGACCTAGTAACTTCGGACCTAAAGGTATTTTCACTGCGGGTGAAAAAGGCCACCTGAGTGGAAATGGAGTGACGGTGAGTCCCCTGCACCTGTGGAAGCAGAATCTCCAGGTGAGGGGGCTAAATAAACAAACACTTTTGGTGCTGGTGTCAGGAGGAGTCTAGTTTTTGTTTGTTTGTTTATCCTTACCATGCCCGGCATGAAACCAGCCACAGTGAGCACTTTGACAGAAAGCGTTGAGAGCAAAAGGGATGTGTGTCTTGATGTGATGCACAGGAGATCATCTTGGCAGAAAGTTAAGCTAGTTCTGCTTTGAGAAAGAACTGATGGCTTGCATATTGCTCTCGGCAGATTTAACTGGATGCCTGCTTTCTCTGCACCCTGCTCTTGTCATGAGCTGCCATCTCTCTGTCGGGTGGCTGGGTGGTGTGCTGGTGATGACACGGGCTTTGGAGTTGGGTGTGGTTTAAATCCCAGCTCCATCACCATCAACAAGGCGACCTCCAGTAGTGGCTTGCCTCTTTGTATTTCCTCTGTAAAATAAGGAGAAGAAGAGGGTTGTTGTGGGAATCGAAGGTGAAATGTAGAGCGCTTTGAAGAATAAAAGGTATTCAGTAAGCACTCGATAAAGAGCATAGAAATAGGCCAGAGAACGCAGACCTGCAGCCCACCAGCCATTAGGCAAACATAGGGTGGCAGGTTTTGTCTGACCACTTATCGGGATCAGACCTGCTCCATTCCCGAACTCACTTCCACGCCCCCCCGGTTGCAGGGCTGAGTTTCACTTGTCCAAACCAATGGATTTCCCACCATTGTCTATACTTTAGAAAGGAGAACTATTGCCCTCTACCCATGAATTTATAAAAACGGGGGAAACAAAAAGATAAATACAATAAACCTGATTTTTAGAGGTGGGAGGGAGAAGCAGACAATATTCCTAAGTGTTTATTATAAAAATAGCCAGAATAACTCAGGTATGTGGCCTTCTGGACACTATAGCTATTTTAATTTACTGCTCCTGCTTTTGGAGCCCCAGGGGATGGAAGACAATACAATTACCTGGGTTATGAGAAAAATAAATGATCTTATATTCTGAGAGAATCTCGGGTTTAGAGGGAATTTAAAAGACATCAAGGCCAGGTGCAGTGGCTCAGCCCTGTAATCCCAGTACTTTGGGAAGCCAAGGCGGGGGGATCACAAGGTCAAGAAATCGAGACCATCCTGGCCAACATGGTGAAACCCAGTCTCTACTAAAAACACAAAAATTAGCTGGGCATGGTGGCGCGCACCTGTAGTCCCAGCTACTCGGGAGGCTGAGGCAGGAGAATCTCTTGAACCCGGGAGGTGGAGGTTGCAGCAAGCTGAGATTGCATCACTGCACTCCAGCCTGGCGACAGAGTCAGACTCTGGGGGAAAAAAAAAATCAAAAGGCACATACACGCTCCTTGCTCCTCTGTAAAGTCTCTTCTCATCCATCTGCATACACATGGAATGAAAGTAGCAAATGGAAACTTAGAAGACATGTGAGTGTGCACCTCTGAAATTGGGTTTATAAACAAAAATCAGTTGCACAAGAACAGAATGGAGACACCTGAATTTGAAAAGTTGCTCATGGAAAAAATAGGAGCTTAATCTTATAGAGCTTTAAAAGTAGCTCGGGAAGGTTCAGATACCTAATGGGTTTATGTGTCTGCACATTGCTTAGTATTTCTTATTTCTGTGACAATGAAAACACTACCGATCCATCCCACGGGGGATCGCAGCAGCTTTTCTTTCTTCCCCACCACACAGAGAGAACAACTTGAGAAACTAATGCTTTTCCACTCTCGTTTGCGCTCCAATGGGGCAGCACCGTATGCATGTGGCATATAGCTAATGATTTTTTCTGCCTGGGCCAGGTGCAGAGGCAGAGAGAGCGACCGTCAGTGCCTAGGTTTCCCATCAATAACCCAGGGAAAGGCAGACCTCTTTTATTCCCTGTTTCCTGCCTTATTTTGATGCTTTCCTAAAAATGCTTTTCTAAAATTGCTATCCATTCTGTTCAAAGAGGGCAATACCAGCGATGGTGAGCCCAGTAAAGGGAGCAATAAATGTAAAACAAGGTTTTTAAAAAGGAAAGAGGAAGATGGCATGGCTCATCTCAAACAAAATGCACTTTCTTTTACGGAAGTTCTTACATGTTGTCATAATCCTACCTGCCGAAGTTCACGTTCCCCAGCAGTTTTCAGCAAAACAAGCAGTGAGGCTGTGAAATCACATGGAGGGATTGAGCCCAACAGTCGGCACAGTGGCAACTGTCAACTTTAGTAAGACAGTCACTCCTTAAACATGTTCAGCATCACTCAGTAAATGTGATTATAGAGCCTGACCACAGAGCCCACAGATATAACATCCTAAGTGATGTAAGGGTGAAACTCATCACCAAGAGCTTTGCTGAAGGCTTCTCTGGACGTGGTCTGACATTGGACCTGGGACAAGATGGGAAGCCTCTTATACCCATGATCTAAGGCTTTCTAATTCTTACAGCCCAGTAACAGAGATAAATAAGCCTTCAAGATGGGCCGAGTTAGTAAGAAGCAAGACATTTGGTGTCATGTATAAACTAAACACAAGGAGACTGTATTTAGGTGGTGGTTCAAATTCATTTAGCACTTTTGATGCCTGCCAGGGATGGGAGATGGACTGTGAGTTCCGTGGACAAGTATGTGGCATGTGGGGAGAGGCACTGAGGAATGAATAGTGGGCTGTGTTGGGGGCACTTTCCTGCACATCACCACACTTCATCTCCACTTCAAGGCTAAGGAAATGGGCTCAGACCAAGTGAAGGGCTTGCCTGCCCAAAGTCACAACAGTGACAAGTCCTCCACTGAGCTTTGTCTCCATCCTGGTTGTCAGGATGTGGCTGTGTTTTGCAGGCAGGACAGCTATGTCTACATGACCCCTAGTGGGGGGGGCTGCAGCTTGGTGAAGAACTCCAATCCCAGTTGCTGCTGGAATGACAGCAGTAGCAAGCCTGGCTAGCCAGAGTGGGATCTGCCTGCTTGGGTGCAGAAGCAGGAGAGGGGGCTGCCCCACGAGACAGCTTAGGAAGGGGGAAGGCATAGAGAAATCAACATAGTTCAGGGTTCCCTGTAGGGAGAGCACAGGGAGGAGGTTTCGAGGAAAACTCATGAAGAAAGACATCGGCTCTATCTGTAGACAGAGAATGTGTCCCCTAAGTGGGGCAGGTAGGTAACCCTCAGACTGCATCCAGTCAAATGCCATGTTTTGTTTGGCCAGTGTGGTGTTGGGCCTTTTTGGAAAGCATGTCTTGAAGCAGAACACGTGCCCTTCAAGACCTAGTGCCACTGCTCCCAGTAGCTTCACTCCTTTAAGATGCTTACTGATCCCTGAAGACGTCTGAGTTCCTGTCTCCTCCTTACGTCCTTCCGAAACTCATGCCTGCTATTCTCAAGCTACTCTGTGAAAACAGAGACCCCAGAAGTGCTTTTTGATCAAAAAGGAATTGGAAGCAGACCTCGCATGCAACAGATTCTTCGTAGCCTGATTTCCTTTGGGTTCACCCAGATTTTAATTTACTCCTTGGGTGTGTAGACACCACTCTGCTTTCATCTATTTTCCTTAACCCAGCTCATGACTCTGCAACTACAGTATCTGCTAGAATGAATCCTCTTTCCATTTCCAAACCACACCTTCCTCCCAGACAGAGAGGATGCGAAATGCCATGCGGATGTGAGCAGGCTGTGTTCCTTGTCTTCATAACGAAGCTCTTTAGAAAACAATGTTCATTATTAATTTTGAGAAAAGAACATTTCAGCGAGTACCTGTTTAACCAAGCTATCCTTTTTCTAAATACTAGGTACCTAATATGCACTTGTAATCTTTAGGGGTATTTTGTAAGTTTAAAAATCTGTGAAACTATCATGCACATAAAAGGCATTACCTTTTGCATACTTAAATGGCAAACTCTGCATTTAACACCTTCCTCCCAGTTAAAAGCAAGCACTATCTTCTTTTTTTTTTTTTTTTTTTGCTGAAACATGCAGAGAATTTTTATTTATCACGAATGTTAATACTCATATTTACTTGCGGAACAGCCATAGAGAGATGTGCAGGCAAGGTATTAGCAGGGTTCAAGGGTTTAGCACAGCATCTAGTACACAGCAGCTTGCTCACTGAGGAAGGACTTGTCATACATTGCTCAAATGCCAACTGTAGGTGCAGTAGATTGTCAGTCATTTCTTACAGAGATGTCTTTTTGATAGTCGTCATACTACATTTCTGCCAATTCAGGATTTCAGTCCATTTTTTGTTTTTTCAATCACCGTTCAAGGTCAGATAGTAGGGGCCCCTCCCCGCTTTCCCCTCCCCTCCCCCCCACCCCGACAACGGAAGTATTCTTATTAGAAGTTCCTAAGACCGAGCAATTCCAGCATGCAGATTGTGATAGGACATAGCCGGGAAGATGAGAAACTGTAGCCATCATCTAGGGATAATATATTCCATCACTGTTGCTCCTTGCAGCCTGCGGGTCCTCCTCGCCGCCCTCTCCATTAAACCCATTAACATGCAGGATCCTCATCTGCTTGACAGTGGTGCTTTTACCAGATTCTCCAGCACCCAGCAGCAGCAAGAGGTGCGTGGCCCGGTAGACCTGCCTGTCCTCTAGCGGCTTCGCGATCTTCTTGCTGGCCTCGCGCTGCGCCTTCTCCTCGTTGCGCTGGTCCTCGGTCTTACTGTTCCCGAGGCAGCCCATGGCGGTGGCGGCGGGCCGGGAGGGCCAGGGCAGACAGCACTATCTTCTTATCTTGAATTTGTATATCAGGAAAATGAGATGCCTTAAATATCCCTGGAACCTGAACAAAACCCACAGGAAACCTAATTGCTGTAGGAGGGCATGCATTCCACACCCTAGTTCTATGAATGAAAATGTAAAATCAGATATATTTTGTTAGTGGCTTCTTTTTCAATGTCCAGTGGCTAGAAATTTATTAGAATTCTGTGCACCGAATTATTAGCCCGGGAAAGAAAAAAAGTAAGAAATATGCCCTTGAAAGACAGAAATGTGTGCACAGGTCAGGCTGGAGGATGGCCCCAGGGTTGAGAGAGAAATTCCAGAGGCTCTACGGCACAGCTCCAGCTTGGCAGACTGCAGAAAGACTGTGTTTCCCTTATCCAGAAAGCACAAAAGCAATCCACTCTCAGATCCTCCATATCTGAGATACTCCAAAGGGGCCAGCTCTTCGTATGAAAAAGATAATTTGGAAGGGGGTCATTTCATTTAACTTGAATAACTGAACACCCATTAAATGCGTCAATGCATTGAAAACAAAATAAGACTGAGCTTCTGTTCACGAAGCTGTACCCCTCTAAGTAACAAACACCTCAGCGTCTGTCAGTCACAGGAAAGGGTAAGGTCACTGAGCACCTCAAGTAAAAAAGGGCACCTAAGGCAAACTTCTTCTTACCAAGGAGTGGCCGGGAGCGGTAGGAAGAGTGCAGGCTCCAGGCCCTGACAGTCACACCACTCTCAAGCTGTGGAACCTCGACAGGGCCTGTCAATGCCTCTGAAAATCAGCCCCTTTATATGCAAAGTGAGATGTGAATTAGCTCGATTTGGCCATTCCACAATGTGTACATATTTCAGAACTTCATGTTGTATACAGCTTTTATTTGTCAATTTAAAATATATTTAAAAATTATTTTTAAATGTTTAATAAAAAATAAAAATGTTTTAAATAAGAAAACAACGGCCCTCATATAGCGGTATGTGACCAGAGAGAACCCCCCCCCCAGAGAGCCTGGCATCTTCCATCGTCCCCACCCTGACCTGCCTTGCCACCACCACCCACCACGTGCTCAGCACAGTTTTTTCCAGGGCAGCTCTGACTGTAGAAATAAGCAGGTGATGGGAAAATGGGTCCAGGAGGAAGAATGCCGGAAGCGGATTCTTAAAATCTTTATCGAATACCCAAAGCTGTTTTCAGTTTCAAGCTTCTTCTTACCTCAGGACACTTACACATGTTGTTCCCTTCATTCAGGAAGCTCTTGCTGCCTCTCTGATAAAGGCATCATATTCTATTATTATACATATAAATAAAATATAAATTACTTTATATCATAAATATAAATAATAAATGTTATTCTCCGAAGCTTTTTCTAAACTCCTCTGTCACCCCCAATCCTTTGGGTGCCCCAGGAAAACCCAGCTTGCGTGGGATCATAGGGACTTCATAGCTGGGACGTAAGGGACCAGGTCCCTTTCCAGTCTCTAGCCTGGGCTGAAGCACTTCTCTGAGCAAGAGCTGCCAGCCGGCAAGAAGGGCTCTGCTGTGCAGGCATCCGTGTCCACCTGCCTGATGGCACTGTAAGATCTGGAAAGTCGGCCACGTTCGGGTAAAAAGCAAACATCTTTGGGTTAAGTAGGTGTCCCTTCATAGGATGTATACACATATGCTGAACGAGCTTGCTCCAGGTGTACCCGTTTCCAAACGCAGTGGACACGTCTGGTGAGCAAAGAGGATCTGCAGAGCAAAGAGCAACTGCTTTGAAGATGGACACACCTAGGTTCAAATGCCAGCGCTTGTATTTTCAGTGATGGCCACGGGCAGATTCTCACTCTAGTTTCCTCATCTGAACAGTGAGTGGAGACAGAGCTGCAGTGAGCATCAGATGGGACGGTGGGTAAAGCATACCTGGCGCACACTGGGTGCTTGATAGATGGCAGAGGCTGTTTCTGTTCTGTGAGGAAGGATGGAAAGAGCACGCTGTTGACTGGGTGCTGGCTATCTGTGATGCATGAGGCTTAGCACTTTTGTTGACGATGCACGCCTTCCACACGCACACACACGCACAACTGTGAGGTCACTCTTAAAGGATCGTTTTTTAAGAAAGCTAATATAATGAATCACATACAAATATAAAATGAACATGCATCAAATATTTTATTTAACTTATAAATAAGGAAAAAACTAGTAATGTATTACAACTGATTCAAAAGAAATTTTAAAAACACATAGATGAAAAATTGATATTGATGGGTAGAATAATTGCATTTTAGTGGACAAAATTTATTTGGATTTCTATGTTCATGAATCATTTTCATTACTGTCATTGTTCTATAATTTACAAAATTGTCAAATGCCTCAAAGACAGTGAAAAGAGCAAGCTTTAGACTCAGATAATCTGGAAGAGTTACCAGATTATGGTTTTGTCTAATTCAAAATTTTTCACAATGTTTTCTGGCATAACGATTATTATTCTCATTTGCAGTTGAGGAAATAGACTAAGAGTACAGATGTGTGATGTGTTTACAGTCACCAAAAAAAAAAAAAAAGTGTAAATAGAAATAGCAGTGTCTACGTGTAAGCTCATCTTTCTATCACACCAAACCTAGAGAGGCTTTATCTGAAGGACTGGGATTTGCTTTACTTGTATATTTCAGGGGATGAACAATCAATACACCCGTCGAGAAGTCTTCTGCTGTGACACTTGTCATGAGCTCAAAAGCTTCTGGGAAAAAGAAATTAGCAAACAGACTTTTTACCGAGAACTGGAGGAAGATCGTCAGGAAAGAAGCGCCCTGAAAAAGTATGTGAATTTTTTCTCTATTATTACTTTTAAAGTGGATTTCCTAGAAAGATGCCAGATATGAAGACGGAGGTAGTGAATTCTCTTTGGTGTCCACCGTTGTAGGAATGTACATATGCTGGGCATGAAGGCGTAAAGGCTGTACAACGACAGGAGGAATTGCGAGTTCTCATGAGGACCTGGGGGCAAGGCTTGGAAGGAAGAAGCTCACTGTACTCACAGGTCCCAGAGAGGGGGTCACACATGTCCCACAGGGCCAGAGGGGAAGCTCCTGGTTTTGGTCAGGTGGGAGAAGAGCTAGCGAGAACCTCTCAGCCAGAGTCTTTTTTTTTTTTTTTTTTTTTGAGACGGAGTTTCGTTCTTGTTACCCAGGCTGGAGTGCAATGGCGCGATCTCGGCTCACCGCAACCTCCGTCTCCTGGGTTCAGGCAATTCTCCTGCCTCAACCTCCTGAGCAGCTGGGATTACAGGCACGCGCCACCATGCCCACCAGCTAATTTTTGTATTTTTAGTAGAGACGGGGTTTCACCATGTTGACCAGCATGGTCTCGATCTCTTGACCTCATGATCCACCCGCCTCGGCCTCCCAAAGTGCTGGGATTACAGGCGTGAGCCACCACGCCCAGCTCAGCCAGAGTCTTTATTGGGATTTCTATGAAAAAGGCAAGGCAGGGCAGAGTGTATAATTCAGGATTGGTTAGTTTGGATCATTCTGGTAGGCTTTGAGCTGTAGGAGTGGTTTCCAGTTGCCTGGTATGGCCCCAGGATAATCAAGGGCAGGGGAAATAGTGATTCAGTGTGTGAGAGTTAGACACGGAGGTGGCTAGGGCTACAGACTTGAGACTGGTTGGTCTGGAGATCGGCCAAGCCTTTTGCTAGTCCTAGCAGGGACAGTCTCTTCCCAGCCAGCAAACTGTAAGATGTCAAAACATCATAAAACGTGGAAAACATCACCAATACATCCACTCATTCCATCTTGCAGGTATACCAGGGATTTTCCAGCTCAGCACAATGACATTTAGGGCCAAATAATTATTTGTTGTGGAGGGCTGTTCTGTGCTAAGATGTTTATCAGTATCCTTGGCCTCAAAGCTGAGCTATCTGTGAGATCGCCACACACATTGTGACAACCAAGGCCACCTGGAGGGCGAAGTCAACCCTGATTGAGAATCAATGATTTGTAGACTTGGACAAGACTTTTTAATACAAAAAAATGAGAATATATTATTTATGTCTTGATGAATTAAAACAATCCCTTCGCCATTTCTTCTCTGTTGCAATCTCCAGCTCATGTGGTTATACTAAATTTTAGGGTTAAGTCGACAGATATGTATATGTGTGAAAAACTAGTTTAATAAAAAGAACCCTCATCTGGGATAGTATCAAGATTCTCGAGAGAAGGATTCTTAGTCCTAGGAGTCTGCTGAGAGATGAAGGTTTGCTTATGTGGGAAGACGTGTCATGTGGACCAGCTCAATTCTTCTGGGCCTGTCCTGGTTCTCTGTCCCTAACATGGGAAGAGGCTAGCCAGCATGTCTGTCTGCTAGGATGTCCACCACAGGTGGAATGGCAGTCATGTGTTCTCCACAGCAGAGCACCATGATTCCATGTTTCTGTGTCTGCCTAGTGCATGCTGGGCTGCAAACATGAGTAATTCACATGTATAAAACTCAAAGTTAATTTCTAAAACAAAATCCTTCCTTAAGCCCCAGTGAGGAGCCTCCTTCCAAACCCAGAGAAGAGCTCTGCCAACATTCCAGCCACACTCCTGGTGGCCTAATACGCAAAACTAGGCTTTCCTGCATGCTAGAAGAGTCTCATGTTAGAGCATCCAATCCTGGAGATTCTCAGGGAAGTGAAGGGAGCCTGTTGTGTGGTCCCCACCATCTTCCTTCCCCCAGTCCTGGCCCACTGGGCCACTGGAAGCCAGATCCCATCATCAGCCCTGTGCTGTATCTTCCCTTCCAGAAAGCAAAAACTTGCAATATGATCTTATTTTTGTCAAGATAGTAAAACATACATATACACATATATACATATATATAGTATATGTATATAGTTACATACTATATATAGAGAGAGTATGTAAAAGAAAAGGATTAGAAGAAAATACACTAAGATACCGAAAGTGGTTATTTTTGACTAATGGGATGACTGTGTGTGTGTGTGTGTGTGTGTGTGTGTGTGCGTGTGTGTGTATGTTCTCATATCTTTTCCAAAAATTTGGTCCTATGCCATTTTGTAAGTAAAAAATAATATAAGTTATAAAATGGCAATCAATTGCAAATGGTCCATAGAACAAACTGCATTAATTCTCCAGGCTCCCATGTGCCCCAGAAATGACCCCCTCTCCTAAAGTTTGGAGCAGATTTCTCTACCTTCTATGACTGAAAGAATAAATCTTTGTGCTCATCATGAAACATTCCGCTAGTCTCCCCCAGCTAAGTGTTTAAAGACGCGATCACAGGGGCCGCAGGACTCAGAAACAGGATCCCACCCGGAGCTGGGGAAGCAACGCAGCTCCCTGTGGTCTCTCCTGCATCCTCAAGGCCACCCACCAGAGCTAGCGTGCTTAGCAATTGTGAATTAAAATTCTCAAAAGCCTTTTTAATTTGGTAAACAATGAATTAAAACCTAGTCGTTTTACTTTTATTTTTGCTGAAAAAAATGCAAACACATACCTATCCCACATGAACCAGGTTTTGCAAAAAACCTAGAATTTTTAAATGAAAACCAAAATGTCAGAACATTTGCTTAAATCCCCGCTGATCTGAGCAAATAGTTTGAAACACTGTCCTAATGAAATAATACTCTCCCAGCATATACTTGCAGACCAGTGAATATCATAGACACCTGAGTCCCTATTTCAGCCCTATGGTCCCTGCCTCCCCCAACTCCACTATAGGCAAATGCCCACCCTCCAATGTACGCATGCAGGCACACACACCTTTTTTTATTCTACCCTCCATTTATATAAAAAATTCCAATCCACTGTGCAATCAAGAAATGTTCTAAGTGTCTGAGTGAGCAGTAGACACAAAAAACCTCCAAATCCCGTTGTTGACAGGAGAACAAATCCAATAATGTCTCATGCTCCTCTCCCTCTGCTGGGCTAACCTGGCAAGATGCTGTGCCAGAGCCGGGTGAAGGGTGTTACACACACACCTGTGGGTTCAGTGACTCTGGGAAGGAATCCAGGGATGGGGAGAACCCATTTTTCCTTGGAACTGGTGTTCTATATCTGTCAGAGGCCTGGGGGTGAGATCACAAGGCAAAGTGGGTGGCCCCAGAACTGGAAACGTCTTTACTTTCTCTGAGTCTGGATAGAGAAAAGCAACAGAACATGGATGGGTTAGTCCCCCACAGAAGCTGGAAAGTATTTGCAAGCAACTGATTGAGGTAATTCGAGAAGAGTCGAGGGCGGCGTGGGCATCCTCCGTGAGCACACCTCCTGGTTTGCCCGGGGAAGTTTGGTATCATCATTGACCGCAGTCCCTGTTATTTTCAAAAGTATCTCAGTTTATATCATAAATCTTATGGACACCTAAGTGCCCAACCGGTAGCTATAACTAAGAAACTGAACAGTGAACAGCTAATGTTTTCATGCAAGAAGTGTGGTCTTCAAAATACCTCTTCATAATTTAGCAGATCTCAACAGTGTCAAGTAGACATTAAATCTGGGGGTACATCAAGCCTCAACCCAAGACCACTCACCTCCCTCTGCTCTGAAGCCTGCTTATCAGTTATATCAACTAGGATGTTTTCAGCTTCAGGCAATCAGATATTTGACTCAGAATCTCCCAGCCAGATGAAATCACTATTTCAAACTTTTTATAAGACAAGAGTTACTCGACAAAGAATAAGCAGAAGAGAGAAAAATTTTAGTTAGATTTTTCATTCAAACTAAAAGGATAGGAAGGAAGCAGCTGGTAAATCGAGTTGGTCAAATCAGTATGCCAAAGTTTGCCAGCCTGTGTGGATGGACTGAGCTCTGACCCTTGACCAGAGACCCAGTCAGCAAGCTACAAACCACAAGGAAACGAGACGCAGGCCCGCCTCTCCCCACTATGAGGAAATAATTGTCAAGGCATGCTTCCTATCCATGAGAATGGCGTAGGCGCAGCAAAATCATCATGTCACTTTTCATACTAAAGCAAAAGCACAGAGATCAAGATCGGAGTTCTGAGATCTGAAATGGGAGATCAAGAATTCGGCCAACTCTCAATTCCTTCAGGACAGGGAGTATGCTGTTGCTCTTCTTCACATAGCGTGGTAGCCACGGAAGTGCCCCACTCAGAGGCCCTCCAGGATCATTTGCTTTGGAAACAGCTGACTGGTCATGCCAGCAGCTCCCTTTCTGCATCTACCATTGTGGGTGAGCCAAAACCATACCTCCCCAGGCTGCCCCTAGCCAAAACTGAGGGTGGCAGAGGTGCTAGTTCTAGGCAATTCCTGCATGACAAGTCTTCTCCGAAGGCAGCATTTGCTCAGGGACTCCCCACCAGCGCAGCGCAAGCTTCCTCAGAACTGTGCTGTGGGGTGGGTTCTTCCTACTCAATCGTTACTTCCCCGTCTCTTCACAGATGTCAGACCAGTGCTGAAGTCTATAAGGCTCTTCCTGCCTGCTTCAGTTTCCTCCCTTCTTTATTTTTCATAGGTGTTTCCCACAAATCTGCTTCTTGGAGGATGAAACTGACACATATGTTTAGTGCCTAGCATATAATAGGAAAAATATAATTATGGATCCAGTTGTCCTCACGCGCTCCAGGAATAACATTATGATCATGACTTAAGAATCTCACAAATATCATCCTGTTTTCTAGGTAAGCCCCAGACTTATCAAGGAGAGTCTGTGCTCCTAGAAATTGACAACTCCTTCACAAATCAGAAGACTCTAGAACAAGAAGCAGTAAACATGACTTGGTCTCCATTTGAAAAGCGAGGTCAATATTTTTAGGCTGAAGGTAAAAATGTTCTCTCTGAGCTTTAATGCCAGTCTTATGGCTCTTTTGATGTAGCTGAATTTGTAAGCCAAGTTTTAAGCATTATCCTCCTCTTATGGACCTTCTCTGCTGCAAAAGGAAAGCCCCATATATAAATCTATATTCACCAGTTTACTGAGAACCCCAAAATAAACAGAAGCAACACAGTAATGAAAGATATTGACCAAAAAGGAGCAGCAAAGTGTCTAAATATTCATAAGACAAGATTTAAAAGACATTTGGGTAGACAGAGACCTGAATTCGTTACCATTTAGCAATAGCATGTAACTGCTATAAAAAGTAAATGAATATGTTATGAACCCCAGATTCCTAACTTTTTTTTCCTAGAATGAATGCATCACACCGAATGTGTTAATTCAGGTCCTCTAAGAAGCAGAGGGCAAGAGATTAGATGTGCATAAGATTTATTGGAGGAAGCACCTGTGAATGAAAAATTGGAAGGAAGCTGTGTGTTGATGAATGTTTAACCACTGGCTCTCTGGAGGAAAAATGTATGTGTGTATATACATGCATATGTTTATAAATCTGACTGATACGAAAGCTGTGTAGCACACAATTTATAAACAGTAAGAGAACACACAATATTCTTTATTATAAATCCCATATAGTCACCTGGTTCTCACAGAGAATAATAATGAAAAGTGTTTTTATTCATTTTTTGCCAACCTCTTGTATCGGGGCCAACTGATGGTTGAAATTCAACCATAATTTGAAAAAAATTATGCAGCAAATAAGTGCTTGATTACTATCCAGTTCAGCGAAGAAGTCCATTGCTTTCTAGTACTGGAAGAATATTTCCTCAACTTTTTTTTTGCTATTTATAATATATTAGCTACAGACACGGCACACTTCTAAATTTAATCCATGTTAAGATTTCGTCCATCACTTTCCTAAGTCTAGACCAAGGGTCGGGAACATTTTCTGAAAGGAACCAGACAGTAAATATTTTTGGCTTTTTAGGTGGTATGATCTGTGTTGCAGCTCTTGAACTGTGTCATTGTAGTGCGAAAGCAGCTATAGCCATATGTAAGTAAAACATGTCAACAAGTGGGCAGGGCTATATTTCAATGAAACCTTATTTACAAAATGGGTGGCTGGCCAGATTTGGCATTAGGGCCAAACCTTAGTTCAGACAATGAACAAAATGGTACCTGAAGTCGTGCATGATTTAAACTGTTTGCAGCTTCCGTGGTGTAAATATTCCCACCACAGTCTGTTTCAAGCTACCAATGAGATGTCTGAAATGAAGACAAGCTCAGAAGAGGCGTTTGGCAGTAATCCCTCATCATGTAGCACTTTCACCATACAGGTGAAATCGACCTAAGTAACCTGACGAGCATAGATTGTTGTAAAATGCAGTAAAATCATTAGGAAGTAATGAATTTTACGTAGTCAGTGCCCTTGTTTTAATACAATTTAATTAGAACTTTATATAATTTACTTTTAATACTGTCTGTATTTAATAATTAGCTTAAAAAAATTCCTGAAAAGTAATCCTCGGTTCTTTTGAACTGTTATGAGGCAGCTTCAGCACACCACAAAGCCAAAGAAGGCAGGTCATCAGACTGTGCTGCGGGTCTGACCTCCATGAAGGAGCAGAAAAAGGAATTAGGACTGGGAAGACAGCAGGGCAGCCCTAGTCAGTTTTGGGCAGAGTAACGAGGAGTCAGTGAGCCAAAGCCACCTGCTAAAGAAGTTCTGCAGCTCGCTGGGGGGCACTGCGCTAATACCACGGCCATGCCCAGTGGCTGTCTTAGAGCAGCCTGCAGGAAGTGTGGCCTTGGCATTGATCTGAAGCAAATACAAATGGAAAGAAGCTGCAGCCACCAGTCAGCTTTGTCACCACACCCAGTAAAAGTTACAGTCCCTTTTGTTAATGAATGAATCCTCATTAGGTTAAGAAGTGCATGAAGTTCAATGAAACACCAGGCAGCAGCCCTTATTAGTGAGCTTCAAAAGATCCCGGGTGACAAAAGTCATGTACTTGAAGGCAGATTTAGTTACAGAGGCTTTCAGAGATGTGTAACCAAAAAAGCTTGTGAAATTGGGTATTCTCCAGGTTGGAGAGGTGGATTACAAATTAAAATATAGGATGAATACTTAACAACCATGATGCAGAAATATAATTATGAAAATTGCTAATCTGTAGAAATCAAAGTAGAAGGTCATATAAGCTCAATAAATCATCCCTTTGTAGGTACAACATACTTTGACCAGTGGTGCGGAGCAGAGTTCCCCACATGTGAGGAAGCTGCCCACTCGTGGGAGAGCAGCAGCCCCGTGCTCAACAAACAGACAAACTATACTTTGATGTCGTTCATTTCTATTTAAAATTGAGGTAGAATTAGGACTGCAACCAATGTCTTGACACTACTGCCCCATGTGCCTCATTCTCTGACAGTATTTCAACTTTCAGTCCCCGCCTGCTCATGTGTTTATGCAACAGCACCAGCCAGCAACAGGCCCGCGCGCCAGATTCTTTCCATTCTTTCCGGGGCCCATAATTAAGCAGAGTGTAAGTAAGAAGTTTTCCTGAAGCCAATCTAGTAATAGGTGCCTAGAGCCTTCAAAATATTTATACCTTCTAAGTGGTATTATTTCACCTCTGGGAGCCACTCTGAGGAAAATAGACTGGGATACAGAAAAAGTATTAAGTATTATACTTCTTGTAGGGTTATTTATAAGAATGAAAGATGAAGGTGAATTCAATTGTTTTAATTCTTTTCTGTATATTCTGATTTTCCTGAAGTACACACATATTATCTAACCCCCAGAACCTCAGAGCATGACTCCAGAATCTTCCCATTCTTTCCCAGGTCCATAATCTAGCAGAGTTTAACACCATCCCCTTGGAAGTTAGGATTTCACTATACGAATCTGAGGGGAAACACAAATGTTCAGACCAGAGCAGATTCCAGGTCTGTTGTTTGAATATAGATACATAATGCTCCGGCACCATTTGTTGAAAAGCCTATGCTTCCTCTATTGAGTCGCCTTAACCTCTTGACAAAAATCGACTGGTCATGTTACTGTGTATTTATTTCTGAACTTTCTGTTCTATTCTGTGCTATTAATCTATTTGTTTATTCACTGCCCTGATGATGGTAACTTAATTATATTAAGCCTCAACTCAGGTAGAGTGAGTCTTCAACAGCTCTCTTCAGACTTCTTAAGGCTAATCTACTTTTGCCTTTCCATATAGAAGTTGGAGCCGGCTTGTTGATAGCTATAGAAAAGTCTTTCTGGGATTCTGATTGGCATTACGTGGAATCCACCTATCAATTTGGGAAGGATTGCGTTTGGGATAGAGCCGTCTATTCATAGACATTGCCCTTGTGACTATTCATTTTTTTCTTTGTTCATTTGTAAAAAGCCTTGGAATTTTAAAATTATTATTTTACTTTAAGTTCTGGGATACATGTACAGACCGTGCAGGTTTGTTACGTAGGTATATGTGTGCCATGGTGGTTTGCTACATTTATCAACCCGTCATCTAGGTTTTAAGCCCCGCATGCATTAGGTATTTGTCCTCCCCTTAACACAGGAACAGAAAACCACAAGCACTGCATGTTCTCACTCATAAGTGGGAGTTGAAGAATGAGAACACATGAACACAGGGAGGAGAGTAACACACACCAGGTTTCTTTTAAAATATCCTTGAGAAGAAAAAGCCATGGTTCAGTGGACCAGCATAGGTGGAGACAAATGCACTGAGCATGTGCACGGTTTCCCCTCCACAGGCTCAGAGAAGAATGGAGGCAGAGGCTGGAGAGGAGGCTGAAGATGCTGGACAACCCTGATGAGAAGGAAAAGCCGGCCAACAGCACGGACTGAGCGTTGCCCACCTCACTGACTTCAAAGATAGCAAGCAACCATGGGCAATTTTCTAGGGGAAAAATACTAACACCCAAGTTATGCTGACTTACTAAACAGGACGCTCTCCAATTGTGCTTCCATTTGCTAGGGGATTTACATGTGAAACCTCCCCCAGTGCTAATGGGAGTTATTATCCTGCTCAATCCCCTCCGCACAGAGGACGGGATGACCGCAAGCAGGATAGGACGCTCAGGCTATTTAATATAAAAAGCTCTTGGAATTAGCACTCCCCAGGACTCACAGGCCCATGTGACATAATGTGATTCCACATTTCCTCCTCATTTCAAAATGTTTCAAGTCTTGAGACATTTGGAGTGTTTTCTCTAAGCTTACTGAGGGCAATGACCTTGCTGAAAATTTGGCTTCCCCGGGTCTCCTGGAAAAGAAGTCATAAAATCTTGTCTTTCTTTCCCTGCTTTTTATGAACACAGAAATGTAACTTCTTGCAGAAATAAAGCTATTATTATAAAAAGAATTTAACAATGTGGCTTGAAAAGGAACTCAATTAATTTATGTCTTCCTGTAAATGTGTTGCTTTTTCTTCGTCAACGGGTTTAATTAGAAGCATGCAATGAACGCATGGCGATAAACTTGGTTGCAGCGCCCTCGAGGTCAGTCCCCTGTGTGAACTCCCTTCACACCTGTCGGGTTAGCTCTCGGGTGGCACAGCAGGTGTCCAGACACATTCTAGAGTTTAAAGTCACCCTCACATTAGCCTCCTCTCAGGCCTCAAACACGATCATAAGGTAGGTGGCCTTCTACGGGGGCAGTAGTGATGGGGCCACCACTGCCCAGCTTCCTCCCTGCCAGGCTGCAGCAAAGGGATAAAGACTAGGGGCCCAGAAGCACAGAGGGCCAGAAGGACACAGAGGGTGCAGTGGGGGCATAGTTTGAGATGGTGCTGAACAGGATCCCAGCCCTTGCAGATGCCATGCGCTGGTATAACTGCTTCCTTCTGCTTCCACAGGAATCTAAATGGCCTCATTTCAGCTGACAGAGCCACGGGTGGCAAGAAGGGTTGGAGACGTGTTCTACCCACCCACTGTGATGAGATCCGGGGAGCCGTGCTGGCCCCTGCCATAGGCTCTCATTCAATTCAAATGCAACAAATTAGCCATAAACTATAGCTGGAGACTAAATAAAAATAATAGAACTTGAGCAAGGACAGAGGACCATGGGAATGAACATCTGGAAGGCTACATCTGGAGATCAAGGAAAAGGGAAATCTCCCCGAGAAATGGATGCTTTAGCTAAGGTCTAGACAGTATTAATCAAGTGTGCATGCGTACATCAGAACATCATGGTGTACACCCTAAATATATAGAGTAAAGAAAGAAATTCAAACAAGTAAGAATTATCCAGGAAACTGTGTCAGGGAGGATGTCTTGGACAGAGGACAAAAGCAAGTGTGAAGAACCAAAGAGGATCAGGAGATGGTGCAGGGGGTGGGGACCTGAGGTCCCTGGGGAGATGCGTCTGTAGCCCAAAGACTGGGGAGGAGCCTAGTATATAGGAGGGGGAGGGGCGAAGGGGCCTCTGGAGCCAGATAAGAAACTCTGGATCTAACCACAGGGTAACAGCAGGCCATTGACAGGTTTCAGGTGGAGGAATCAGCTGATCAGATGCGCATTGTGAACTTTTTCAAGCACACATATACATGTTTATGTAACTTCGTGTAGGTGCACAAATATGATCATATCATGCATGCCGATTGGGCTTATCACAGTTTTTTACTAACCTTTTCTCCCTCATCTCTGTGGTCGGGACTTAACTCCGTCCCTTTTCTTTCTGCTCACTACTGTCAGTGACCCCGACACCTCAGTAACAACCTCACCTAGGTTACTCCACGTTCACATAAATCTACAAACACACACACACTTGAACACACACTCACACTATACATCTAAAAGGCTTTATGTGGATGTGTTCATGTGGTAACATCTTACAAAACAGGATCACGTTCTTTTGTGTATCTTGTGTTCCTCACACAACCATGCTTCATACAAATGCACCCAGGTGAATTTAATTCCAATTTACATTTTTAATTTGGCCGTATTATCCCATGATGTGGATGTTCTATAATTAAAGTTAACAATTCTTTTAGAGATGAATAGTCACATGATTTCCAGGGTTTTGCATTTGAACAATGCAGCAGTAAGTAATCTCCTCTGGAGGTCCTTTATCACAGGAGTTTGATACTGGAAAATAGATTCCCAGGAATGGAAAGTTAGAACATGGTATTTGCAGTTTTTACTTTTAACATGCTACTAGAAGGTTTTCCAGAAAGGCTGGAGAAATTCCCATTTGAACCGACAGTTTATGAGAATATGTTTCTCCCCACATCGCTGCAAGCATTAATTGTCAGAGCTAGCTTAAATTTTCTGTAGTCTGAGGGGTGTTGAGTGACATCATAATTGGAGTCTCTTCATTTGGTTGTAGATTAGGTGAATTTTCTCATCTGTGAATTGCTTATGCATACTTTACTGCCCATTTTTCTAAGATGTGTCTTTCATGTCAATGTGTACGAACGCTTAATATAGTATATAACTTAACCCCTGGATTGTTATTTGCATTAGAAATCTAGCTTAAATATTCACCATTAAGTTTGAAAACCTTGAAGTTATCAAGGCAGAAATAGACATATTTATTTATATAAATATGAAAAGCTTCTATGTCATAAAATGTACCACAAGCAGAGTAGCTTTGGTAGATTTGCAAGTTTAAATGATCACTCCACTGCAGCTGAGAAGACGGATTTAAGGGGAGATGGCAGGAGACGGTGGGAGACGGATTAGGAGGTTGTTCCCAGGTCTCCATGACAGAGAATGGACGTGAACGAACAGAATGGATAGACCTTGCTGGTTAGATCTGCAGGGGCCTGAGGCACGGAGCATCTACAAACACAGATATTCATTTATTTTACCTAGCATTTATTTAACATGGGCTATGGAAGACGAATGTGAGTCCAAAGAGACAGCAGAGCTGGTTTTGTTAACAACTCCACTACGTACTGGTGGGGACCTCAGACGAACCCCCTGAGCTTTGGTTTCCTCATCTGGCATCATAGGCATACCATCATCTGTTTCTTGCGGTGGTTGAAATCGAATGAGCGGGTATAAATGCTCCCAGGGCAGAACCTGGCACAAGGTGGGCCCTCAGTGCACCTGAGCTCTCCGCCTCCTCTCTCTCTCTCTGCTCCCTCCTGGCTATCACCTGGCTGGGCCCATGGAAAATGCATGCTTGTTCTGGGCAGTGGTTACAAGGCCTGCTTGCCAGTCAGAATCACCTGGAAAACTGCTTTAAATTCACAGATTCCTGGGCTCTGCTCCCAGAGATTCTAGTTCTGTTGATCTGGGGTGGGGCTCGGGGATGGTATTTTTATCACGCTGCCCAGGAGAGCAGATGCTTAGCCAGACTTGGAAACTGATTCCTCAGAGGGTGCAGAATCTAGCAGAGAAGACAAGATGACATAAACTGAGTCTGCATGGTAAGGTCTTTCAGAAGAGCACTGGGTGCCCGGGGGAGAAGCATGGAGGTCTCCCAGAGAGAGTAAGATGAAGCCTTGAGGTAGAGGCCAAGGGCATCCTGGACACAGGAACCAGCTGTGTAAAGGCAGGAAGTGGCCTCTGTGCTGTCCCTGTAGGGAGTGGAGGGGGGCAAGGTTGGGGTTAAATGGGGAAGGCCCCTGAATGCTGAGCTAAGGAGTTTGGGCTTTGTCACATAGGCAATGGAGGCTCATCAAAGGTTTTTAAGCAAGCAAGTAACGTGCTAAGAACCTGTCTTAGTGTCTTAGTCAAACAGCCCTGGCAGCAGTGCGGAGAATGCACTCTACAGATGTTAGGGATTGTCTTTGTTAAAACTATGATGATCCAAACAGCTTTATTTGGAAAATATACCCTTTATGTGATCCTCTACTCTGGTCAAGGTGAGCGAAAACAAAAATAAGAGTGTGGTTTAAGTGATGAGATACAGAGACCAAAGCATTGCAATTGTACCTTATGCTGTGGCTCCAGACAAACACATTTAAAATTCCAGTTCTCATTTCAAACTTGTTAGCACTTTTCCTTTAATAACCTTGTGTGAAATGCAGATTGAAAAATGGCAAAATTATTCTACCAACTTAGAGGCGACCTCAGCTGCTCAAAAAACTTTACTGAATTGAAACCATAACTTTATTTATGTTGACAAAGAGTAGCAACAACAGATCCTTCTTTCTTTTGGACAGCTACACATGATTCAGAATTATTGACAGAAGAAATTAAACCAGAAAAGGTCCCTTTTTGCAAAGCAATCTAATGATGAAATCAAAAAGAGCTCTCTAGTTTCAGACCAGTCCACAAGTCCTCAGGCTGGTTTTGGTGCAGATAAGCTGACATGCACGTACCCAGCCCAGGAGACACAACGGCACTTGGAGGCTTTGCTATGGGGGACATTACAGATGGGGAGACGGGGAGGGAAAGGGAGAGAGACACTCGTTAGGAAAGATTTACTGTCCTAGGCATGTGGGCGAGATGGGTAGCACCCAAAGACAGTTGGGCAAATCAAAGGATTGTTTGCAACACAGAGCCACCTCCCCCAGACGCCATGAGAACTGAAGCAGCGCTAAAGTGCAAACCAGGCACAAAGCCAGTTCTCCCAGGAGGACCACAACAGCAGCAGCAGCAGCAGGAGAGCGTACCCAGGATCGAGGCGCTCCAGGGCAACTGTAACATTTTCCTTGACAACATGCAGATTCTAAAGGAAGAAGATAGGATTCTCCCATTAGCTTAGAAAATAATGCGTTTTCTTTGAAAATAATAAATAACCTGACTTTTTCTGATTATAAAATATTTGTTTATGGTAAAAATTCAGAAAAGGAAAAAGTGTAAAGATTACCCACATTGCCACCACCCAGCAATAAACACTACTAATATTTTGAACACTATGTAACAGCTCTCTAGTCATACCTACACAAAAAGATTGATAAATAACTTTTCAAAAGCGAGGCATTACCGTAGATTTTTGTCACCTGTTTTTCCATTCAGTAACATATTGTGGACATCTTAAAATT